ATGAAATTATGGCATGCTCTGTATCAACACTGGAAGGAGGGCTGCATCATTCATTCAGTTCTTACTCCAAAGTGAATCAAGTGCATCCAAAGATTTCAAGAATACCCTGAAGAACTAATGGGTGAATATTTACATACCCTGGATTGCCATGGCATTTCAACATGTAACAATAGCAAGAAGGAAAGACTGACAGAAGATACCTTTGGACGCATCTAACTATGTAAAAGCTGAACACTTCTACTTGGCCAACAACTACTATAAAAAGTTAAACATAAGAGCCAGAGACAAACACAAAAGCCAGATGCCAGGAGCAAACACTGTACACAGGAGGAAGCGCTGATTTACAAAGCATTTGACACACCAAAGAGACAAGTGAGACAAATCCAGCATAGTATCCACATATGACATGAACAGTAAAGTCACTTAGCCCTTTCAGTAATACCTAATTTAGGAGGAGGCAAAGGGAAAAGGATATAAACCGGCACATCTTTTCTGATGGCTGCTGGCATATCTCAATTTTTCACCCATGTACACATTATATCTACGTAGATATAGATAATCATATATTTTGGGCATTTTTTTGTGCCACAGAAACCACATAAATATGAAAAAGCAGATAGAAAAATGTTCACTGTACATTATATTTGATAATGAAAACTGGAAAGGAATTAAATACTACCATAAAGGAAATGAAACACATATGATACACCTAAATAATGGAATAATATTCAGCTATGTAAAAGAATGACATACATCCACATATCATGACCAGCAACTGGACCACAAAACACTACTGAGTGTAAAAATAAGACACTAAGTAGATATAATGCTTTTTGGAAAATGTGTGCTCTTTTGAGTCCACACTGAATAATGCTTTGGTGACAGTGATTGTGTTTGACAGTTGAATGGAAAGTGATGGAAGTTTCCATTATTCCAAAATACACTGGATAATTTGACCAACTGAACATGTGTTTATGATTTTAAAATGTGTTCAGCTGGTCATGGTGGTCCAAGCCTGTAATCCTAGTACTCTAAAGGCTAATGCAGGAGGATCGCCACAAGTTTGAGGCCAGGCTGGACTGCACAGTGAGACCATGTCTCAAAAAAACCTCAAAAGTTAATTACTTAATTGTTCACATGCATTTATATAAAATAAAGAAAACAGGAGGAGCTCTATGAAGCCACACTAGAGCTTATTTAACAGCCTTGCTCAGCACAGAATTTAAGAAAGATTTAAAAACAAGCCAAGTTGCAAATTTTGCTTATGATTTTCCATGACTACGTAAAGTGCATCTGTGTGCGTAAAACTAACTGATGTGGTCAGGCTGACAGTTTTATTATATTGTCACCAAGTGTCACAAAGGTTCAAAGGCTTTTATATAACATTTTGTATTTAATCATGAAAAAGATATTTCAAAACCTATCAACTTGTTTTTGTTTGGGTTTGGCTTTCTTTTTTTATTATTAACACAAGAGATTTGTAATACTGGAGTTTGGTTACATTACATAGTTATCCAGAAACATTTTAATCTCTTAGAAAACAAACAAAGGGCCAGGGATATAGCTCAGCAGCACATGCACTTGCCTGGCAAGTGCAAGGTCCTGAGTTCAACTCCCAGTATGAAAAAAAAAAAAAAAGAAAGAAAGAAAACAAACGAAAAACCCCAAGCTATTTTTCTTCTTTTCACAATAGTACATATACATTTTAATCATAATTTAGTTAAGCCTACAAAACATCAGAAGATTTTTTAATGTCTCTTCTCTATGGCATTGCTGAGGGTAAAACTTTATACTTGTGTTCATGTGGATCACACTAATCTCTTATTGATTCGACAGGCGTTCCTAAATTTACAGTAAGGTTACATGCCGATAAGTCCATCATGAATTGAAAATATTGCAAGTCAAAAGTGCATCTACTACACTTACCTTAGCAAATACTGCAGTTTAGCCACTCAGCACACCATAGGGTATGGGCCATTTCCCCTGGTACTGGGATTGTGTATGCACCTCTCTCCAGGGTGAAGAGGATCTAGTATTTTTTTTCAATGTTTCATCATCACAGTAGATGTTGTAAAATAATACTGCCCAAAAACATGCTCAGTGTATGTAATTAGAAGAAGAATATTTCTATAATACAATGCTCATCTCTGAGAGTCACATGATGTTCCTAGTATTTTCTTAATGTTTCATTGTGCATATTTTGTGTTTTTAAAATGTTATCTTGCCTTTATCTTGGGTGTTGTCACTGCTACTGTTGTTTGGCAGGTGTTATTCTTTTCTAGCCTGAGGTAAACATGCTGGTCAGACTCTTTTGGCAGTACTACTATGCTTTGTTTTCTCTATCATGTTATTTTGAAGAACAACATATTATACCACCTCAAAATATCTACTTGATATAAAGATTACTTTATGCTAAAGGGATTTGTAAAATATCAAGACTGCCATTCTGATCTCCCTTTTCATCTTTCTTGGCTGGTTTTTGCTTTGTTTTTTTGTTTTGGGGGTTTTTTTGGTACCAGAATCTCACTCAGGACCTTGAGCTTGCCAGGCAGGCACTTGTGCCACTGAGCTATAACCCTGGCCCTCCCCTTTGTTTCTTGAGAACAAAAGATTAGAATTCCAGGTGGAAAATGCCTTCCTTACTATACCAGCTGGGAAAAGACAAATGGAGAGTCACAGCCAAGAGAATTTTGTGCAAACAGACCTTATTAAAATAATTATCTTCTTTTAGCCCCCCACACTTTACTCTTCCACAGTGCCTCTCTTTGTTCCCCCTAACACAAAAGCATATAGATTTTGCTACTTCTTTGGGTCTTCATTTCCTTCTGAGTGTTTTCAGGTCATATAACACCTACATCAAACTTGTATGCCTTTCTCCCGTTAGTGTATTGCATATCAAGGCGATTCTCAGGCCTAGCTGGGACCGTAAGAGGGGAGAGGTGAACTTTGGATCCTCTACAATTTATATTCCACAGCTTTGGTCCCAAGACATGCGTATGTTTAGTTCCCTTGGCAGAGCAAAAAGAAATGCTTCCTTTCCTCAAGCCATTTCCCACCTTTCTCTCAAAACGCACTCATTCCCTCTTTCAGTCTCATTTAATGCTTCAAGTTCATTCCATAATATTTTGGTATTTTCTTTTGCTCTGCTCTGCTCTGCTCTGCTCTGCTCCATTTGTGGGACTGGGGACTGAACCCAGGGGTGCTCTACTGTACAGCTACATCCCTAGTCTTGTCTGTCTGTCTGTTTGTCTGTCTATCTATCATCTATCTATTATTTTAGGACATGGTTTTTCAGAGTCGCCCAGACAGCTTTCAAACTTGCAGTCCTCCTGCCTTGGTCTCTTGTGTAGCTGTGCTTACAGGCATGTGCTACTACTGTGCCCAGTTCATTCCGTAATCTTACAGAAAGTTTTTTCTACATGAATTATTCTTTCTAGTCACGGTAGGTTTGATTATAAGAGGATTAAACAAAGAATTAAGAAACTATTGACTCAAGACTTACTGCTCAAACATTCCTACTGAGAACTATAACAAAATGTGCTTACATTGAGATCAGAATAAAATTTTGCATGCATTTCCTTCTCAATGTGTTTCATTTCTGTTATCCCTAGTTCTGAATCATGGGGTGAACAGGAAAACAATTTCTGTCTACTATCAAAAAGCAGATTAGAACTGAACTATGTTTAAAGTCCACTTAACATCAAGCCAACCCAATTGTACGTCTTTACATTCTGAACATTGTTTTGACCAGTTTTGACTCTTTAAAAAGACCTTGTAAAATTCACTTTCACTGTTAGATTCCTCTTTAAATATTGCATGCTGGTAATAATCAAAAGTTCCTCATCTGACTTAGATGGCTCTGCCCTTATATAATGTCCCACATTTATACCAAGCTTTAAAGATTCCATTTCATTCCTTTCTAACTGACAATGCTAGAAGTCAAGGTCTCCAAAGAAACAGCCAATTGTGTGTGTGTGTGTGTGTGTGTGTGTGTGTGTGTGTGTGTGTGTGTGTAGCTATATGGATAGGCATGTCCGCACCAGCCAGATGAAGGCCCCCAAAACAATTGATGATGATGGTCAGGCCAAAGGCGGTCTTCTGGCTGAAGCCCCTGTTCAGGGGATGCCAGACCTTTCTCTGAAGGTTTCACCTGCTTAGACGAAGCTTACCCACAATGGGTGGGGGCATAAGCTTCGATCAAAGTCTACTGATTCAACTGTTAATTCAAGCTAAAAAGTACCTTTAGAGGAACTTCTACCCTGGTGTTATACTACAGACCACATATTATGACCTAGCTAAGTAAATACATAAAATTAACTACTACACTAACTTTCAATAATCTCATTTATAAAATTCAGTGTGCTCCATGGTGGCCAAGCTGAGAACGAAGCTTGGTTTTGAATCAAAAACGTGTAATCAAACCAGTCTTCAAAAAAATTGAGGGAAAGCGAGTTATTCTGTGTGCCGAATAACACTTAAACTTTCACTTTCCAGATAACTAATTAAACGTTTTTTCCTGTGTATGGCTTTTTAATTCCTTCTTCCGTGAAGTAAGTTACCTGTTCTGTTTTGTGCGTGCGTTTTGGTGCTGCACCACTGAGGTAACCTCCGGGGTAAACACCTTTTTACATCCTTTCCCACTTTTCTGTACAGACTCCTCTCCCTCAGTGATTTCTAGGAGCACTGGCAGTGGCGCGCACTGAAGCTCAGTCATACTTGGTACCCCTCACACAAGGGTCGTAGGAGGGGTCAAGGGACAGGGTCAAGCCGTGGGCCATCTGTTTGGAGTCAGCGGCGGTGGGTTTTGTTGTTTTGTTTCCTTCCCTTTTCGATGGTAAGGCTCAAACCCAGCGCGTCCAGCACGCTAGGCAAACGTCCTGTCACTGCCTTACAGCGCCGCCACTAACCTGTCGGGGTCAGGCTTGCAGGGCTTCTCTCAGCTGTGGTCTGAAACCATGCGCATGCGCGTGCGTGCGTGCGTGCGTGCGTGCGCGTGCGGGTCAGGGGGCTTCATATGTGGGGTCGGGGCGGGGCCACGATGAGGTCAGAGTTGGTCCGGCCCCATCTTTACCACCGGATGGGAACTCGGGGAGCAGGGACCCGAGGCGGGGCTTGTGCCCTGCCCTGGATGCTGCTGCTGCCCGCTCTGCTGACCCTGAGCCTTGAGGCAGCCCCGACCCCGCAGCCCTTGGGGTCCAGCCCCTGGCAGGCTCCAGGGGAGAAAAAGGGGACCTTGAGGGTACAGGAGGCCAGTGGATCAGAGGACTGGGCAAGGGAGGCCCAAGGTCCGTTTGAAGAGAGGGGGACAAAGAGGGAGGGGGTGCTCTGGTCAGGTCCCGTACCACACATAACCCGAATGTGTTCTGTGTTCCTTCCCTTCTAAGCAGGACACCCCAGAGACGGCATCCAACAAGGTAGGTCAGGGTCGCTACCCAACGGGATGCTGTCTCGGGTGGGAAACAGCCCAGTAGATGTGGGGCTTTGGACCTGGACAGATGACCAGGGTTTCGCCCTGGGGTGGGTGGAGGGAGACAGCACCAGGATTATCGTCAGGGGCTGGAGGACCTAGAGCTGTGAACACAGGCCAGGAGACAAGACCTTCTCTCCCCAGGGGCAGACCTTCTGCTCCCCCGAGGGCTGAGTCTCAAGAGCCAAAGGTATCTTCATTAGCTCCCCTACATATCCAAGTAGCAGTGGAGCATCATAAATCCCATGGCAGGAGCAACTTGCCCCAGGACCACTGCACCCAGCGTGCTGTCTGTGATTCTCTCTCTGGACACCTGGGTGGTGCAGAAGGTGTGATTTCAAGCATGGAGCACGAGTGACCTGAGAGATCTGCAGCGCCTTGATCTGCAGAGTAGGCACTGAGTATTTAGTGGAGGGGAGGAGATCGCAGGCCCTGCTGCTCTGTCCACAGGGCTTCTTGGCAGCCCCAGTAAAGGATGTGCTGAGGTGGCCTTCTCTGGTCCTCCCCAGACCTCAGGTCCTCACTCCCACAACACCAGTTTGGCCATCCAGTCCCTCCAATGGAGGCTGGGGCAACCCTGCCATCTAGGCCAGGTCCCTTGCCCATTGTCCCTGATCTTCCACCTATGAAATGGAGGAGGGGACTTCTTGGGATGGCATGCTGGGGCCCCCTGTGTCCGTAACGCGGTGGAGGTGTCTCCACAGTGTGCGGGAAGCCAAAGGCAGTAGGGAAAGTGTATGGTGGCCAGGACACTGAGGCTGGCCAGTGGCCATGGCAGGCAAGTCTGCTGTACCGTGGCTCACACCTCTGTGGAGCTGTCCTCATCGACCACCGCTGGCTGGTGTCCACCGCCCACTGCTTTCGCAAGTGAGTTCTCCTTCCCAAGGGTCCCAGAGAGAGGGTGGCAAGGGAAGAGGAACAAAGGATGGGAGGGGCCCATGCCTTTGTGCTCCCGGGCTTGCTCTGAGACAGTGCCTGCCACAAAAGGCACATTGTCCCTTCCTTGAACCTGGGCCTGGCCTGGCCTCCGCACTTGCCACTCAGTACTTCCCAGCATGTTTGCTCAGATCCCCATCATCCTTCCTCCTCACCTCCAGCAGTGAGTCTCTGGCCCCCTGTGTATGTGCCCCTGACACACACTGCCCTGAAGACATTGCCACCAGCTGACCTGGCCTCACACTGTCCTCCACACTCCTGTGAGTCCGTGTGTGACCAACAGCCAGCAACTTCTTTGACCACTTCTATGAAAACCATGTGCCTGGGAGGAGCTGTGATTTTCACCCTCCAGTATTCGAGGATTCATGGGCTCTCTGACCTTTGAGACTGATATGGCCAGTCAGGAGTCTGACTTCTTTGACTCAGAGCCTGGTTTCTGAACAGATGTGAAGGAACCCACATCTGTTCAGATCAGGAACTTCATGGTCCAGGTCTGGAAGTTGCAGCTTAGACACTTACCAGCTCCAGACCCCACCTGGGTCCTGTCAGCATCTCTTTTGTGCCACACTCCCTTGAAACTCCGTGGCAACAGGGGTAGCAAAACCCCACACCAATGTGTCTCCATCCCTCCAGGAAGGCACAGCACAAGCTCTAGTCAGCATGATGCCCATAAGGAAGTCTACATGGGGGAGGAAGGCAGACCTGAGGGAGGGGTCTAGAGGAGGCTGCAATCTAGGGTGAGAGCTGAGGAGCTACCAGGCTTCCAGAAGGGAAGAACTGAGCCTATAGAGTGGATGAGGGCATCCTAGATGGTTGAGCTGTAGGAACAAAGCCATAGTGAGATGTTTCTGCAGTCCTATTCAGGAGCAGGGAAAGCTTCAGTTTTATGCACTCATTTGTGCACTTAATAAATCATTTGGGAGAGTTTATGACGAAGTGGCTTAAGAACTCTTAAGGGAGAGGGAGGAAAGGTGATTAGGCCTGGAGGTGGGTCTTGGGAGCCTTCAGAAGAGACAGACTGGTATGTCAATCTCTTCTTTGTTGCTGTGACAAAATGTGACAAAGCACATGTCAGAGGAGGCCTCTTCACCTATGACAACCAGGAGACGGGAGGAAGGGGCTAGGATCGCAATATCCTTTACAAGGAGACATCCCAGTGGCCTAACTTCCTCCTACTGGCTCCACCTCCTAAAGGCTCCACCCCTTCCCAGTGATAAAGACTAAGCCCTTTAGCACTTGGGCTTTTGGAAGACATTGAAGATCCTAACCAGAACAATGGAACTGAGCTAGAGCCCTTTGTAGGTAAAATAAAAGGGCTTGATTTAAGAATCCCCATCAAGGAGCCCTCCAGGACTAGGATTATCTGCTCCAATTCTAAGGTGTGATGGAAAGCTCTCTGTCCTGAGATTGTGAGCAGAATATCCATCACTCTGGAGAAAGAAGGCTCCTGGGTGTTAGAAGTGGAGAGAGAATAAAGATGCCTGGAATTGCAGCAGGGTGGAGGGGTCCTGAAGGATGTGGACAGTGAGGTGAGAGTACTGGGGCCACCCTCAAGGAAGAAGGTGATAATGGGCCTTTCTTCCTCCAGCAAATCCCAGGCCCTGGAGGACTATCAGGTTCTATTGGGGAACACCCAGCTATATCAGCAAACCCAACACACCCAGAAGATACCAGTGAGCCGGATCATCACCCACCCAGACTTTGAGAAGTTTCATCCCTTTGGGAGTGACATCGCCATGTTGCAACTGCACCTGCCTGTGAACTTCTCACCCTATGTCATCCCTACCTGCCTCCCACCACCAGACATGCAGCTGCCCCGTCACACATCCTGCTGGATAACTGGCTGGGGCATGCTCACTGAGGACAGTGAGGTTGGCATGGGAGAGGCAGGAAGGGGAGGGAGGGACTGAGCAAGAGAAGTAGGGGAACAGGGGAGGTCTTAGGGAAAGAAGGGGTGCTTCAGTCAGGCTGAAGGCCAGGCTGCTTTCTGAAGCCACTGGACACTGGCCTCCATCTTACAGCTTTGGCCTGTAAGAGGGGGACTGAGTAGGGCCAGGGCCCCACTTTTTCTGCAAGTATGTCATTCCCCAGCTGCAAAATCCCTTCTGCCCAGGTTCTGCAATCAAAAGTCTGGATGTTTTGAGTCTTCCTCTTTTGATTCTAAAATTTTAGTCAACCATGGTCCTGAGATGACTCAGTTAAACTCAAAAAACATCTTGGGAGCTGGCACCCTTCAAATTACATAGTCAGCTTTCCATTACTGCAACAAAATACCTGACACAATCAACTTAAAAAGAGGAAAGGTTTGCAGAGTGTGGTGGCACATGCCTATAATCCCAGCTGCTATGGGGGCGAGACAGTAGTATCATAAATTTGAGCCAAGCCTGTCCAGCTTAGGGAGCCCCTGTCTCAAATTTTTAAAAAATAATAAAAATTTAAAATGGCTGAGGATGTATCTCAATGAAAAGGCTCTGGGTTCAATCCTCCAAACTGATTTTTTTTTAAAGAGAAAAAGAGAAGGAAATCTTCCTCATGTCTCACAATTTCAGATGCTGGTCCTGTTGCTTTGGGCCTCTGGGTGGCTAGATGGATGGTTAGGAGTAGGGGAGGATGAATGGGTAGTGTGGGTAGATATGTTAGTATATGAAGGGAAGCAGAGATGGATGGAGAGACTGAGAAAGGTGAGTGGATGGAGGGTGTATATAGGAAGACTGGTGGGTGCATCAAGAAGTAGGTGAAGGAGTAGATTTGTGCATGGGTAGGTAAATGAAAAAATGGGTGAAAAGTTAGTGATAGATGGGTAGAAAATAGATGGGATAGTTTGTGACAAGGTATGTGAATTAGTGAATGGTTGCCCACCCCAATAAGTAGGTTGTATGTTAGTGGAATTCACCTCTTTGTGTTGGCACTGGGAGAGGTGTGATCTGTTGCTATGAGAGAGATGGAAGGAATAGGATGAATATGGAAAGGTTTGCAAAAAAGGGATGCACCTACCAGGGGTAGGGTAGAAGACTGAAGCAATGTGTCAAGTTCAGCTATTCTAAGAAAGCCCCAAGTTTGGTGGGGGAGTATTTTGAGCATCAGGCAGAGTGGGAAACTAGACAAAGTTGGGCTTCCTTGAGTGATTTATAGTGCAAGTCCCTGACCTCTGTCTTGTTTTCACAGTGCAGCTGTTACCACCCTTCTCTCTCCAGGAGGCTGAGGTAGGCCTCATTAAGAATGAGCACTGCAATACCTTATATGATCAAAGAACTGGCAAGGACCACTTGGTGCAGGAGGAGATGCTGTGTGTCTGGAATTTCTCTACAGGAAAGTCCATCTGCCGTGTAAGACTAGGCTCTGCTGCTCATTTGCCTGTTCTCTTGGCCTCCATTTCCTTGGGAAGGGGGACAGTGTCAGCCTCTGCTGTCTTTGTAGAAACCTTTGGACTTCTTGTTTTCTTCTCATTGGGTGTTTTCTCTGGGCTTTGTCCCTCAGCAGTCTCCCCCAGAGTATCCCCTTCACAGCCAATCCTGATACAGGGTCATCCACTGGAAGAACCCTCACACTGCATCCACTGGTATTGCATATTTTAAACTTTTTGTTGTAGCATAATCAATACACATGTCATTTATAAGTGCAAGTCTGATGAACTTTTCCATGCTGACACAATATGCCAGAAGACCCCTTGTACCCCCTTCTTGTCACTAATACCCAAGGGAAACTCTCATCTTCACTTCAGCCTTAGACTGGATTCTGTGTTTTCTGGAAATTCAGTTTGCAGTTGACACTCCCATGTATCTGAATGTTTTGTTAGTTTCTTTTTGTTATCTTTGCGTGGGGGTGTGGTGCTGGGGATCAGACTCAGAGCCTTATGCATGCAAAGCAAGAACTCTACCACTGAGCCGCAACCCCACACCTAAATGTTTTCTTAGTGAGACTCATCCAGAGTACAACATGTAGTTTGCCATTGCCCTGAAATGCACTCTTGTGTGAGCTGAATCCATTCTGTGCTGGATGGGTGTTAAGTCACTTGCAACTTGGAGGTCTGATGAGTAGCACACATGCTCTGTGTGTTTTCTGTATGAACAGTACATCTTTCCTACTCTATTTTGTAGAAGCCCATGAATAGAATTGCTAGACGAAAGGCATGTATGTGTTCAATGTTGGTAGAGGTTAGTAAACAGTCCTCCAGTAATGGATGAGAATTTATGTCCTCACCCAAACTTAGTACCTTCCATCTTTTCATGTTATGACAGTTTTGGCAAGTGTCATTGGTTTGTGGTTTTAATTTTCATCCTCCCAGTGAAATTATGTAGTTGAGTGAAATTTCCCATACTGACATAACACATCAGCCTTTTTTTTTTTTTTTTGAGACAGGGTCTCTGTGACTTGCCAAGCCTGGCCTTGAATTTGTGATCTTTCTGCCTCAGCCTCCTGAGTAGGGGTTGTGTGTTTTCTATAGGAATTATTTATATATTCTTGATATAAGTTTACTCTTGGACATATAGATTGTGTCCCATCATATAGGTGGGGAAACCAAAGCCCAAGAGAGAAAGTGGCCAGCCTGAAGTGGGGCAGTGCAACCAGGATTGGAGTCAAATACCATCCCTGCCTCTGCAAGCTCTCCTGCAGGGTCCCACACCTACGCCACCGTCTATGGGCTAAGCTTTGGCATAGAGGTCACCATGGCCTGGCTGTTCCATGGGATGAACGCCCCCCCCATGGCATTTCATGTCTTCAGTAACTCCCAGTCACTTTCCAGAGATGCCTGCCTACTCCCCTAGTGATGTTGACTGTGTCAGTCAGTTTGGTGTTGCTATGACAAAATACCTGGGAAGAACAACTGAAAGGAGAAAAGACATACAGTGGTACCTCAGCTCGCAAACATAATTCATTCCATGATTCTGAAAAAGATGGCTGTGGTCAGTGTTGCTCACTGGATGCAGAGTTCATAAACAAAATTTTTCAAATGCTTCTGTTTGTGAACCAAATTGTTTGCAAACAAAAGCATGGCTTATGGTTTCAGTGCATGGTCCCCCACTCCATTGCTTTTTAGGACTGTGTCACAGTAGAGAAGTTGTAGCAGAAAGACATGGCAGAAGAAAGCTGCTCACCTTGTGGCAGTCAGCAATCAAAGAGAGACAGAAAGAGGCAAAGAGTAAAGGGCCTGCGACTCAATATAGTCTCCAAGGTCATGCCACTATAATCCACTTCCTTCGACCCATTCAGCCATGAATTCTCACCATCTAATCACTTCCCAAAGCCCACCAGCTGACAACCAACCCTTCCACACAGTGATCCTTTAGAGAACATTTCAGATCCCAACTGTAACATGGCCTGTCTCCACCAAGCCTGGCCACGTATGTTTTCTAATGGTGCCCTACCAGGAAGTACAGAGAAAACCACAGACCCAAGCAAACAAAGAGCCAGGGACGTGGGAGTACCTGCTACTGCAGCTCAGAGTTTACAGAGATGGGGTCTCAGCTTGCCCAGCCTGCTCACAAGCCCCTCTGTGCAGACAGCTGTCCCCTCTTGGCCTCAGGCAGTATGTGGTACCAGGCCACAACCATGCGTGGATAGCAGTGGCAGAGGTCCACATGTTGATAGATTCAGATACATGATCGTCCACCTGGACAACCAAGCAGCTCAGGAGTACCTTACTACTCCCTTCCGGTGTTCTCCCTACACAGTTGAATCCAGTGGGGACTGTAGTGGGGCCCTAACTCAAGTATTGGCAGCTTTGCACCAGACCAACCTTGCTTCTCATGTCTCTGACTGTACTTACCTTGCACTAACTCTTTTCTCTCTCTCCTCAGGGTGATTCTGGCGGGCCTCTTGTCTGCTACCACTACGGTGCCTGGGTCCTGGTAGGACTGGCCAGCTGGGGTTTGGACTGTCGGTACCCCACTTACCCCAGCGTCTTCACGAGGGTCACCCACTTCGCTGACTGGATCAGCACAGTCAAGAAGTTCACTCCTGTCCCATACTCACTGTCAAGTCCTCCTCCCACGGATTTTCTGCCCCAGCCTCTGAGAGCTAGAGGCTCCTGCAAGATTCACAGTGTCCTCAGGCCAGCACAGACCTGCCTCTTGCTACCATTTATGCTTCAGGCCCCACAGCAGGCCTGAGGGTGACAACATGGCCCATCTGCATGCCCTCTGTTCAGACCTCTGGTGCTGTGCTGTGGCCTCTCTTTCTCCAACCCAATGTCAATAAATGTTCCTCTTGCTCAGCTTCTGTGCCCATCAGCTGTCAGTCCCAAACAAAGCCTGGCCAAAGGAACCAAATAAAACCTCATCATCCTTGCTTCCTGGCTGCAGTCCCTGCCTCAGGTACTTCCTGCCCCTCAGAACCCCCTTCCCTTGGGGTCAGCTCTTAGGTCCTGCCCCAAGAGAAACCAGAACCTCACAGGGAGACTCTCACTCCTGGTCCTCTGGGAAAGGCAGTGGTGTGACAGGAACAGTAAGGGGACTTTGAGGAGCCTTGTGCCAACTAGGCAGAAAGCAGGGTCCCTCTGCCCCTGCAAACTGCTCTTGCCATGGAGAAACTCTGGCCCTCGGGGAGACCAGGCTGTGCTACTGGCATTCAAGTGCAGGGGCAAAAAAAAGCCTCCTAGAGGTGGGCAAGCAACAGTGGGCTCTTGAAGCTCTGAGGCCTCCATATGCAGGGGCAGGGCATGAATCAGGAGCACAGATGGGGCCCTGATGCCAGGCTGGAAGCTGGGGTTTAAGGCAGCAACACTCAGTGCTCTGCTCCTGGGTTGACACAGAGCAGCCTCTTCATTTGTCCACATGGGCCCCTCCTTCCGTAAATCTCTTGCAGATTATCCGCTGCCCAGCTTCTCAGACCCAGGCCCCATTAGTCTGCTCCCTGCTGTCTGAGGCCAAGGCCACTCCTGCTCAGTTTCTGCATACCTTCACTGGTTGAAAATCAGTCGCAACTCATGTTTAGCTGACCCAGGACTCAGTGGTCCAGCCACAAGCCCCAGAGTAGTTTCTGAGGCGGTCCTTCCTCAGGTACGCCAGACACCAGAGTCCTTGTATGGCCAGCAGAACTCTTGACAGCTCGCAGGGCAGCCCACGCCAGCCTGGAGTTTCCTTAATAAGGAGGAGCTCCTGTTTAGCACAGATCCCAGTGAACCAGGCACTATTCTTGGGATTCCAGTCAAATTCTCCAGTCCTAGAATTGCCCACGTTTCCTGGACACTCCCCGGTAGGGATACAGACAGCCTTGCGGGCTCATTAGCAGCAGGACCAACCTGTCTTCATCCCTCTGCTGCTCCTGCAAGACTCCACCCCACAAAGATCTCATGAAGGCTAAAGTAAATGTCTTCTTGTGTTAGTGTCTCCTTCTGTAGGATCTTTTCTTGCTGTCCCCACCTTTGGCCAGGGCACCACTACTGAGGTACCGCTACATCTGGTGGTACCCCCACCCACTAGTGCTGGACTCTAACTAGGTTTGTCATGGCAAGGAAGTGCTTGCCTTCTGCCTTCCAGAGACTGGACATCCAAGGCCCACTGCATAGATCCCTGGGAGGCCCATGAGTTACCAAGACAACATGTGGTGCACACATTTCTACACAGGGCCAGGGCAGCATAGGCAGTTCTGTGTGGAGTATTAGCACCTCCAGGCACAGGAATGGCATGAAGGCCACCCTCTGGAAGAACCAGACCACTGCCAGAGTAGTAGGTCACACTTCAGGACAGGCCACATCCTGGGGTGCTACCAGGAGCTCCTCCAGGCCCTCAAAGGTGTCTGTGGGTATTTCAGTGGATGTTTGGTGACCTGGTGCACCTAGCCCACCAGCTTTAGTCCTGGAGGCTGGGGAAAAGACAGAAGCAGACGTGTGCCACTTTCCTGGAGGACTACCCGCCTGTGATATTCCACCCAGCTCAGGCCAATTTTGCCATCAAGTTCTAGATGCCCTCCTCGGTAGGGGGAAGGTCTTGTCAGTCTGTTGAGTGGCCCACAAATAGTGGAAAGCACAGACATCCCAGGGCCAAGCAGGCTCCTTCCTAAGCACTCCCACAGTCCTGTCCACACTGCCTCACAGGTGACAGTCAGCACCTTACCAGGAAAATATGATGGTAGCCAGGGACCTACATTTGCTTTCCACTCACTGCCTAGGTCCTAGCACCACCTCTCTCCTCCCCAGGTCTGGTCACAGAGAGCCATTCTAGCACAGCACCCGGATGCTAGCCATTCCCAATCAGGATTAAGGAGTCAATAGGCACTGCTTTTCAGGTTAATTATGCCAGAGGGAAAGGGAGGCAGTGTGAAAGATTGCTTTGGAGGTCGGCAAGTCCTACAGGAGGGAGGCGCACAGTGAGTGATAGATACATTTTCCACCCATAGGTACACAAACCCTGCAGCAGGCCTCAGGCTGCACCTCGGAACAAAGCTTGGAGCCCCAAACCTGAGAATTCAGTTGACTTTGCCAGGTGCCGCGGACTTGGGGGAAGTGGGGTGAGCCCATACTTAGGTCTGGGCAGGATCTATATACAGTGCGCTAAAGAGTGGCTCTACCCTAAGTCTGCAGGTGATGTTTGGAAAAGCACTCAGGAGTCTCAGATTTCCAACACCAAGGGACAGAACCGTCCTTGTCTAACCATGAGGCCATAATGAAGAGCAAGCCAAGCCCTGGGACAGAGGCTGTGGTCCCTGCCATTCAAGGACCTGTGCCTTCACCACTTTAAAACCACAGCACCCAGACTTTTCGCAACCTAAAACACAAACACTAGCTTTTTACTACAGAGCCAAACAGAAGGAGAGGGAATCTTGGGCCCTGGGAAGAGTCCCCTCACAGTCTTCATGTCCACCAAGCCTGATCACCATGTGAAAAGGGGTTTTGAAGAAATCCACATTCTTTTGAGATGGGTCCTGTCATTTATGCTTGTGGCACAGGTGACAGAAGGGGGAAAAACCTTTAGTCTTCCAAGTATGCTAGCTTAAAAGGCACTGGAAAGCTTTTTCCAGAACTCTGAGGAGAAGGAAGGGAGGGAATGAAAAGTGGCAAAAAGCAAATAATGAAAAGTGAGGCTCCAGGTATCTTCAGGTTTTCCCTCAGCTTCCATAGTGCCTTTGAAATCCACTCAAGTCATTGCACAGTTCCTTTTATTGCTTTTTTTTTGTACTGGGAATCAAACTCAGGACCTTGCGCTTGCCAGGCAGGCAGTGTGCTACTGAGCTGTATCCCTGGCCCTCCTTTTATTGCTAAAAGCTTCATCCTCAGGATGTTTGCCTGGGCTTAACTGTTCACCTATCATGGATGTTGCGATTGTTGCTTGCTTTAGCTACGAATAATCCTGCAGTGATCAATTGCAAACAAATATTTGTGTGGATACGAGACTTCATTTTCCTGAAATAATAAGGCCATGAGAAGCATTAACAAAGGAAACTAATCAAGATGCCCAATTCCAGGTCTTTTAAAAGGATCTCATGACTCAGATAATTTCTGGTTGATCTTACAAGTGTTATAAGCTAGCTGTCATGCTGCATCTCTCACTGCTTTAGACTGAGTGACATAGAGGCAGTGTTCTTCTAGCAACAAACATGAGCTCTTTTTCAGCAGTCAGGAGGTCTAGTCCCCCGTGGTTTTTTAGAGTCACCACTGCTCATGATTCTGGAGGATGACAGTGCTCTGGGCAATTTTATCCAGGCTATTTTTCAGGTCCTTAGACAACTTCTGGTAACAGGAGAGGGATTTGGTTAGTCCTCCTACTTCAATGCTGGTTTTAATTGCTATACCCAGGTTCACTAGTAGAAGGAGTTCTGTGGCTCACTTGGTTTTTGTTCTGGCAGCTATAGGTTGGCAGGGACTGATTATTAAGTGCTATGTTGGTCTCCAGGGCCAGATAAATTGTTAATTTCCCATCACCTTGTTTTGAAATTCTGTATAATTTTTATTGTTGTTTTGTTTATGCCTTTATTTTTGTTATTTTCTCTTTAAAATTAAAAAAAGAAAAAAAATGTGTATATGCAAAGATAGCTGGGATAAATGTATTGCTGATGTCTATGTATTGCTGATGTCCAGCTGTCTCATGGACCCAGACCTGCAGGAGGACTTGATCCCACCTTTCAAGAAGCAGAAACTCAGTCTTGTGGCAATGATGCCTCAGAGACCACGCCACAGCCAACAGACAATGATAGGGCTGAACCTAACCTGGGACTATGTGGTTTATTGAAATGAACAGTTAATGTCAAATTTATTTCCCTCTTGACCAATTTTGCGTGCTTATATCTGGTAACTGGAACAACTAATTTGAAGACAACAATATACAATATAACAACCTTTGCTGAATTCCTACCATCTTGTTTAGTGAAGCTCTGTATTATTTCTAATGTTTTTTAATTACATGTTATTGTCTTTAACTGTTTGATCAATCTTACATTCTTTCATCTGGTAATCTGAGCAACTTCATTGAAGATAACAATATATGATATAACAACCATTGTTAATTCCTATCATCTTGTTTTGAAATCCTGTATCATTTTATTGTTTTTGTATTATTTTGTTTTTGTCTATGTGTTATTTTGTTATTGTTTTTTTCTCTTTAAAATAAAAAACAGCGTTCATAGATATGACAAACAAACAAGTACAGAGCTTAACAGATTGGACAAACAGACAAACATCTTACAAGATCAGAGTGCACTCAAATATATTTTTGACCAAATTGAATTAAAATAACCCTTACAATTTTAGAAGTTATAATTGTAAATAGACTAGCCAGAATTTTTGTAAGTCAGTAGCAGAGACCTCTGACAAGGAGAATTTGGAAGGAACAAAATCTTTTATCTATAATTAATATGTATTTTGCATTTTATTCTGTCTTAAGAATACTGATTACTTTTGTATCCCTTTCTTTTATGTAACTTTCAGGTCAGTTATTTCCGTGCATGTTATCACCTACTTAGACCTTTGTTTCCCATTTTTGGTTACCATCTCCTGTGTGTCCTGGGTTAATTTCTTTAACTGGTCCCAGGTTAGGTTCAGCCCTATCATTGTCTGTTGGCTGTGGCGTGGTCTCTGAGGCATCATTGCCACAAGACTGAGTTTCTGCTTCTTGAAAGGTGGGATCAAGTCCTCCTGCAGGTCTGGGTCCATGAGACAGCTGGACAGCATTCTCTGGCACCCAGATAGGCCATTCAGCATTCTCTGGAAAGACGCAAGCATACCCTCAACCCCAAATTAGCACTAGGCTGGGTCCCTTCCATTGTCTAGTGTGAAAATCTTTCCAAAGGATTCTTTCTAGCCTTTTTTCCTTATACCTGACTGAACTGTCTTTCTGCTGCTATAGTTCTATCCC